ATTTACCATGATAAGTCTGTGTTTAATTTTTGGACATGTTACAAATTTTTAAGGGAGAGGGATGGCACCGAGGTCTCTAGGGTCTAGCGTAGCCTGCTGATGCATGCACCTTTCTATAGACCAGGTGCTGCCTCTGCATTTAACTCTGCATTTAACTAAATTTAAGGAATTGTGGTTTAGTTAATAATAGAATTTGGTTTTCATTTATTTGATTAATATTTTATTTTTTAAAAAATTAATAAAAATATAATTTCTCCTAAATTTTCTTAGTAGGTACAGTTCTAATAAGTTGGTCTAAGACATTCTAACTAATTTTTTTTTTTTAAAAAAAAAAACTATGCTTTTCATTAAAATTATGATATGTCCAAATGTCACCAAAGGTATTTTAATGTGAAAAATGATTACTAAGATGTAATTTAATCTTATAATTTTACTAATATATTTACCTATTTAGTATTTTACCACGAGGTAAGAGTGAGAGTGAGTGAATATACACATATTTGATGATGGACGAACAAAAAGGAATGAAGCAATGCCTTGGATGAGGTTATTCCTCCCCCACCTCAACTTTTATTACTAATTTAACTATAATTTTATTAGTTTAAAGTTTTTTCTTAAACAGTTAATTATGATATTTGAAATATGTTTATAAATTAATTTTAATTTGTTAAATAATAAATATTAACTGTTTTATTAGTTATCAGTTGTTTTTAACAGTTAAATAAATATAAAAATTTAATTATTTTTTATGATCTTAACAAAATTTGTGGTTGCCATAATTATTGCCTAGTACCTTACATCATATTCATCATCATAGAAACTATTAACTTAAACATGATATAAATCAAGTAATTGCTCACCACCATACAAGGAAGGGTACAAATAATTAATCTCCATCTTGTAATTCATGACATGACATCAGGATAAATTCTAAACCGTTTGATCTTTACATTTGTTAACACGTAATCCCTATAGAACAAATCAACGGCTTCAATTTAAAAGGCAAGTTGTTCTAATTGGATGACATGAGT